GAGGGGCTGCTGAGGGGCTGGGTGGGGTTTGGAGGTCATTTTAGGGGGGCTCCTGTAGGAGTAAGCCAGGCAGGAATGGTGTCCTAGGAGATGTGGGACATGGGGTTGGGCCAGCAGGAGCAGGGCAGGATTGTCCCATTGGGATGGACACTGGGGAGGCCCAACCTTGAATCCTGGAGGTGGTTTTGGGTCAAGATGAGCTTTGAAGGTCCCTCCCCACCCAAACCTCTGTGGGGTTCTGTGATTTTGGAAGCTCCACCCCACCACCTTCAGCACCTGCATGAAACCCACCCCACTGTTTGCCCCACACAACCATGAAGAAACCATCTCCTCTCCTGAGACCAGTGCCAAGCTGACCAAAGTTGTGGAGCTCAAACCCATTTCCCCACCACAACCCCACCTCAAGACCTCCAGATGCCACCATCCCCGCCCACGATCCCCTTCCAGCTCCTCCTCCACCTCCCAAATCCCTCAGGGAGGAGCTTCCTCACCTTCCATGGTCTCTGTCAGCCTGTCTGCCACCTTCCTGACGGCCGTGCTCATGCTCAGCTGCCCGTGGAGCAGCAGCTCCTCCACCAGCAGCTCCCCCGTGTCCCCGTAGAGGGTCTTGGCGGTGTAGATGTAGCGGGGGTAGCGCAGGATCCTCAAGACCCTCCTGCAGTGGCCTTCATATTCCACCCACCCCCTTTTCTGCAGCTGGTAGGTCACCAGGTTGTGTTGGAGGAGGACACAAAGGGCTTTCTTCACCTGCCCGGGGGTAGAATGGGGCTGGGGGACATCATTGAGAAGCCCAATTTGGGTTCTGACCCCCCCCCAACGCCGAGTTCTGGAGCTCCTGGGGTTGTTTCCACCTGACTTTTGATGGTGTTTGTGTCACCATCTCGTCCCCACCACCAGCAGAGGGGGAGGTTGGAGCAGAGGAATGATTTCTTGCCCCTGGAGGGGTGGAGTCCCCACCCCTGGAGGGGTTCCCAAGCCGTGGAGATGGGGGGTGAGGGCCACGGCTCAGGAGTGGACCCAAAACTCTGTCCCCAGCTTCCTTCTGAGTATGAAACACCCCCCAGCAGGTCTC